TAGTACTCATTAAGTGCCTGAGCATGTGGTAAAAAAATTTTTATGCATTATCTCATTTAATCCTCAAAATAACCTGATGAGACTGTTACTGTTTTGTTCCCTATTTTTCAGATGAGGAAGCTATGGTTTTCTCAGGGTGATTAAGTAATTGACTTAAAGTCACGGTTAATAAGGTTCAGAAATGAGATTCATGCTCATATTAGTTGGAATCAAAGATAATTTATAGATGACTGATGTAAAAACACACAAAAACTATACACTGCCTCAGAATTTTCTATTAGAAATTTATCATCCCTAAAAGGCTTTATAAAAAGTTTACATAGTACAACATTTTATGTGACTAAAATACTCCCAGAATAATTATGGCAACCAGTCTTCCAATCCCTTCCCCATCTTTCTATGTCCTTAAATTTAGTAACAAGTATTACACCCTCCAAAAAAGAAGAAATTATTCTTTAACACTTGAAATTCCTGGGACTAAGAAGGTGTTAATTACCATCCAGAAACTCAATGCATAATAAAGCTCAAAAATGCAGATATTTTAAAGCCTATCCCCTTAGTGCTTAAAAATCAACCTATTTTTTTGATGCTACAGACAGAAACACAATTCCTTGATTTTCCATTGCCTTTTATTATATCATCTCTACAACTATGAACTCTGGCCGAGGCAGCTTCTTATCCCCTGTGAACAGTGGGTTTCTAAGGTCTCAAAGACACTTATTCTTCAGATAGGTAAAAATGAAAAAAGGATCAATCCTAAAAGGTTTAATAGTAATGAGAAAAGAAGACCATCTGCTCTGATAGCTCTGGGCTGATTTTCCCAGCAGGAGAGCCCAGGTTTTAGAAACCTTGTTATTGTTAGAGAAAGGTAAAGAAATTGCTGAGAATTAGGATAAAAGATTTTCAAGCCCTATAGCAGCTTGAAACAATGTATTTTAGGTTTTGGGTAGTTAGCTTATATGTGAATTTGGAGAGATTGGTTTGTTTTTTAAAGATAGACTGTTACAACACTTTCGGGTTTTGAAATTTATCAGATGCTATGCCTACCACTATTTACTCTCACATACTCAAAATTTCTTACGATCTTTATATGAACCTATTTATTCTGGATCAGCAAAGCTCCCAATGTAAAATGACAGCTCATCTAGAATAAATCTTCATCATTCTTTTGTGCTGAAATGCCAGGAGATTTGAAAATTAATCCTCTGTACACTCTCTTGTTCTCTTCTGTCCACCAGATCATGTCCCTGATCCTCCCATATCAAACAAATTTTTATTTAACAGAGGCCTTTACCAGCTCGACAAATAACCCCTCCATGGTCTTTGAACTACTATTCCTATTGCCCGTTTTGCTTCATTCTTTGTTCATTTGCTGTATTACGGTGTTCATACTGAGGGACAGACAGGTGAGCATATTCTCAAAGTGAAAGGCACTTTAGAAATTCCCAACACACAAGCTTAGCCAATCAGAGGCACATTACTTATCTTTGCTTTCCCCCAACCCTTTACTCTAATTCAAATAAAACAGATTTAAAAGCTTGTTTTCGTATACTCAAAACACAAAAGGCTTTCTAAGACAAAGAAAAAGTCAGGCTTAAAAAAAAAAAAGTCAACTCCTTGAGTAGAAAATGAGCCTCTTATTTCTGGTCCGTATTTTCCCTATAGCTTTAAAGTAATTTCTCTTTTAAAAATTAACTTCCTCTGAAGATACTAAGAGAAGACTGTCTAATAACAATACTTTCCAAGGAATAAGGAATGATGACATTTGTAGAGGGATTTTAGGATTGAGAAACACCAGTCAAAGCCCTTAGACTAAATGGTAATATATCTAGCTATAAGGAGCCTTAATGGAAAAATGCAACAATTCTGTAATTTGATTAACATAACATTTCTTATACTCTCCTCACAGAAGAGAAAAATCTAGAGCACTGGGGCTCAGTGTTAATGATCACCCAAGTCCACAGAGCTGGTTAATGACAAAGCCCAACATACAATCCAGTCCAGTATATTATTTGCACCACATCATATTGCCATTGGAAAGCTAAATATTTCTATCTGAACACACCTCTTCAATGTAGACTCACAATAAAATCAATGTTCTCAAAAGATTTGGCAGCTGGTTTACCATTTTGTTACTGATCCCCAGAATACAGGAACCTGTAATTTGTAAGCATTCTTTACTACAACTCAGGTTATTGAGTTGAAAATGATATAGTACAGAATCTAAGCAAAGTGTGCTTATAAAGAAAGGTCACTGGCCACACAGATGCACATTTCCATTTGCCATTTATTGTCCAAGTAATGCATCCACACAGCAAACCGTGGCTTCTCCTATGGCTTCCTAATGTTAGAAAAGATTTTTAGGCCCTCCTCAAATTTCTACTACTGCAGTGTTTTGAGGAGGAAAGAATATGACCTTTTAAACCTATTTGGTAACATGGCTGCACCAATTCACACAGCACATTAAGGCAACAGACATCTTCTCTATGGCAGTTTAATGAGTTCCTCTTAAAGTCTGTCCAGAAAAAGAAGCCATGATTCTTGCTCAAAACAAAACAGAACAACAAAAAGACTCTCACCACCAGTAGAAGAAAGTTAGCTAATTGACAGTGTACTATAGAACACACTGTATGGTGAGGCACAGTATTTCTGCAAATGCCAAGGCACGATGAAATGAATAAAGGACAAAAGAAGGGGGAACAAAAGCATGCTGAGCTGAGTCCTTAAAACACCACTGATCAAAAGGTGCACGCTGTGTATGACAGTGGGTGTGCTTAATTCACCCAGTATTTTAGTGCCTCATTAGTTAAAACTCTTAGGTAGGGTCCAAGAAGCCTCCACCGAACTCTGAGTTGTGCTCTACTTTAGCAAAATTTACATGTTTCATGATGAAACCACATGACTTATTCAAAGCTTGTCTATTTTTTCCTTCATATACCAATAGAACTTTCATGATTTCATCAACGCTACTGAGCTAAAGTGAGTTGTCTGGGGCTCGGCAGGAAAGGATGCCCTAGACACTTAATTAATGTGACAGAGCTATGAAATCTGTAGTCTAGTTTCAAACACTTCAGCATAGGCAATGTAATATATTTATGGATTAAAATTATATCCTGGTCAGGCACAGTGGCTTACACCTGTAATCCCAGCACTTTGGGAGGCTGAGACAGGTGGATAACTTGAAGTCAGGAGTTTGAGACCAGCCTGGCCAACATGGTGAAACTTCATCTCTACTAAAATACAAAAATTAGCCGAGCATGGTGGCAGGCACCTGTAGTCCCAGCTACTTGGGAGGCTGAGGCAGGAGAATCACTTGAACCCAGGAGGTGGAGGTTGTAGTGAGCTGAGATCATGCCACTGCACTCCAGCCTGGGTAACACAGCAAGACTGTCTCAAAAAAAAATTATATCCTATACACAGTCAGTGGTCCTAATCAGAATTTACTTCCCCAGGGTGGTAAATTAGCATTATATCAGAGCTTTCTGTGTCTTAGTCAATACCAGAGATTTTTCTAATTGGCATACTCAAATGGATTTTCACCGGTGAAATCAAAATCAGTGACTTGCAGCTCTCATGGCAGATGTTTAAAAAACAGGCCTTCAGGCCGGGCGCGGTGGCTCAAGCCTGTAATCCCAGCACTGTGGGAGGCCGAGGCGGGTGGATCACGAGGTCAAGAGATCAAGACCATCCTGGTCAACACGGCGAAACCCCGTCTCTACTAAAACTACAAAAAAAAAATCAGCTGGGCCTGGTGGCGCGTGCCTGTAATCCCAGCTACTCAGGAGGCTGAGGCAGGAGAATTGCCTGAACCCAGGAGGCGGAGGTTGCGGTGAGCCGAGATCGCGCCATTGCACTCCAGCCTGGGTAACAAGAGCAAAACTCCGTCTCAAAAAAAAAAAAAAAAAACAGGCCTTCATCAATGAAACTAGTAGTATATAAGATAAGTGACTGGCAAAATTTTCCACCCTTGTATGAACAGAGCATGGGAATCTAGGGATGTCTACAATTTGCACCCTCAGGACATCTGACATTTAATTGCCAAATGGCCTTATGTCCAGCAACTGGGTTAGAGGATTCCCATTCCCTAGTTCTCACTAAAAAGGTGAGAGAATTGTGCCTCTGGAAAGTTGACATGTTGACCTGGGGTGGAACTGTCCAGAAAAATCAGACTGGAGCACTTTAAAAAGCCAGAAAGCTGGGACTTCATTGAGTTTATGGGATTGGCTTCATGAATGCTTTCTGCCTATCTGCTAACTGTTTAATAAAAGTCTGTTATACAGAATTGGCCTGAGACTGAGTTGTACATGGGATGAGCAAATCCTCACGCAAAACTTCAGCCACTTTTCTGTGGCTATTGCTATCTATTAAAAAGATTTGGGCATGACTAATTGGCTTAAGACTATTCCTAACAAGTATGTAACATGTATAAACACTGCCCTGGAGCCAACCCATACCAGCTCAGTAAATTTTCAGGAGTTTTCCGAGCCAGTTGTTAAAAATAGCCATTATTATGAATTAAAAATATCTAAATTTAAAGTAAATATATTGAAAACAAGTGTAATAGATACTTAAAACTGATACATTTCCTATTTAGTTTGCTACATTTTACTAGGGTTTATGTCAATTGTATTTATACAGTGGAAAAGCTACATAATACAACTCTACAATAGTGCTCCACTGGGCCTCTCTTCCCAGCTCTGAGTTCAATGACGTCACACTGGTACCAGAAACTGGCCACAGTGGGAGGATGTATGCCAGGGAAACCAGCAAACGCTATAATCGGGGATTTGTTTTGTTTTCAGGACTGGCTGTTAAACACTTACCAGAACACCACTGGTGTGCATGGTCTTGATTTAAGAGAGAAGACTTTGACTTTTCTCAATATCCATATTCTAAAGCCCCGGAATATACCAGCATAAATAAAACCCCACACCCTGTTTACCGCAGTGAGACCACGCCGCCATGCACACCCGCTGCCCAGGGCAACGGGACACACTCACTTTTGAAGCAGCTGGGTCCACTAGTCTCTGGCGATGCCGGGCTGAGTTGAAATGGCTCTTCGGAGGCTGCCCTTCCTGACAGTGAATGGAAGATGGGGAGTGAACGAGAGGTGGGAAGGGAGAAGGTGGGTCGTGGGATGGAGAAATGGTCAAAAAAGGGAGAGGGACAGTGTTTAACAGCACTGTATTTTGTTTTAGCTAAACATCAATAACAAAAACACAAGGCATGTTCTCCCCCACAAAAGCACATGTCATGTGCAAGTTATTTTGTTATAAACAAACTTGTATGTGCATGTGTGAAATAAAGTCACAAACACAACTCAGTAAGACACTACCCATCAAATATTCATTTTTAGCACTTTAGTTTAATTTGCATTATTTTTCTATTATTTGATAATTGTCTCTATTTCAAAAATACTAAGAGACACCAGAACATGATTTTTCTTAATATGAAGTCCATCTTCCTGAAATAACAGAAAGCATTACAGAGTGTTCTTAGGGTGAGACATGCCACCCATTTAGATATGAACAAAATGATGTGGAAATCACAATCTTCCTCCGAATCATGAAAAATCTCCTGCCTCAGAAGCTCCTCTCTCCATCATCCTGGAAGAATTCATGGTGTATGACAGCCACCAAAAACTCTGCCCCTAAATACATACTATATTTTATTGGCTGAAACAGAGATATAGCATTAAGTTTGTAATTTAAACCTATATGAAAGAGTGATCTCTCCAAAGACCAATCCTTTAATGCCCTCATATACATATTGGACATGTGGATCACATAGAAAGGAGTAACACCTCCCTATTATTCATTCCATGCCAAACACACAAACATACAACCCAAGGTACTACATTTTAAAGGGAAAGTTTGGAAGAGGAGCCTCCATTAATGGTATCGAGTTTTACTTCTCCATCTGTCAGAGCTAGACAACAGTGAACAAGAACTTAAGAAGCAAGTACTGCCCACTGTAAGCATTAACTCCAGGGAACGAGAGATAAAGCAACAGAGAGATGGTCTCACAAAATCCCTGTGCTTAAAGGCCCCATGCAAGTGAGAGGCCCCAACACCAGCAACAAAATGACCCTCAGATGAGGGCTAGCATTTGCTCAGCTCTCTTAACAGAGGAAGCTAAAAAGACCTCCTCAGATAAAAATGCAATTTCTGTATTACAAGACTTAAGAACTCTTTTTTTTTTTTTTCCTCTAGGAATAACAGCTCTATTTCTTTTAAGACTTCTATCAATCACACCCACTTGAGTGGCCAACAATCACTGCTTCCGCGTCCACAGTATAATGCTTACCTTTCAAAACGGAAATGTTATAAACAGCAGATTGCCAGTCAGGATTATGTTTTTCCTAGTAACCACCCTGCCAACATGCATTCTTTCTCTACCCTCTTTGGGAAAAAAAAAATGCAAAGAAATAGTCTTGAAAGTCGGCTGACCTAGAAAATGTACCAAAGCTTTAAGAACAGAGAAGCTATCCATTGACTCACTGAATATCAGGCAAAACAAAACCAGGCGAAAATCTGAGCATGTTTTCCCATTTCTACAGAATCAAGAGTTTTCACGTGAGAAACACAGTGTTTGAAAAAAAGCATAATGGATTATTTATTTAGTTTGATGTAAACGTGCTCCTTTCAACTTAATGGTTTATCAGAAGGTGGTTTTAAAGCTTTTTCTTCTCCCTAAAAGAAGTTATCAAATATAAATAAATAATTATCTTCATTAATCTATCTGCAGAACTAACCACCCTTATTAACCTTCCCTATGGAATGATTACAGCTGATTTAAGAGTTCTAAACCACAGTGCCAGGCTCCTACTCATCAGGAAAAAAAATTAATCTCAGCATTAAATACACAATTACAGTCAATGTGTAAATTAACTAAATTCTGGGCCTGTGGTTTATTGCTCTTCTTCTGATTCCAAGGTGAAATGTTTTTTTTTTTTTTAAATTAGCTAATTGTACCATGAACCCGGCAGGGGGCAGATGTTGATATTAAACCCAGGATCTGAATCTTAAACTCCCAGTAGGTGGGAGACAAGAGAACAAGAACATCCTTCAAGGGTTAGGTTTTTGAAACCTGGTCTCCATTTTATCTAATTTATTTTCAAGTATAATAAATCTGTAACAATAGTCTGCTTGCAATGAACAAATAGGGCTATGAAGTAATCAATGTATTTACACAGAGATTCCAGTAATACATCTTCATAGAAACAAGGAAGAGCCTGGAGGATTAAAGTCATTTAATAAATTGCATATGGAGTGAAAATAAAGGAATTGTAAACAGTTCACCACAAGTTTTTCTTCATGTGACTCATAACTTAAACTAACCTTAATTTTCAATGAGCTAGTCATTTAGTATCCTATTGCTAAAAAAAAAAAAAAAAAAAAAAAGAGGTTTGTGATGTGATGGTTGTGTGTGTGTGTGTGTTGTAAATGTTAGTTAGGTGACACTGAGACTTTGTGGAAAGGTGCACATGGCTAGATCCAAGATGAGAACCTTTGAGAAGAATTTAATTCCATAGAAGCTGGACATGCCTGCATCTTCACTTTAGGGAGATCCTACCTGAAAAGATTTTTCTTTCCCTATTCCCAGTCTTGCTACCTACCAGATCTTACAACACATCCAAGGAAGGTACAAACTATAAACCTTTGAGCTTAGTCAATTAAGTACAGCTATATCAGTTCAGTTAGGTAATACTTTACACATTTTTGAAAACACAAACAGGGCTCTCGTAAGCGATATCACAGGGAATTGACGATCCTATATAATGGATTTGTGCACATAGTTTTCCATGTTCAGGAAAACATTAAATGATGTCACTCAACACTAAATGTAAAATTTGTGACTTCATTTTCTTTTCCCAAATTCTAAGAACCCATTTCTCTTTCTAAATGACAGCCTTTAGACTCTGGTACTATCATTCCAGACTGAGACATCAGTCTCCTGGTATCACTTACCTCCTGGTTAATGCCATCAGCATCAGCATCAGCAAAATAACAAATTGGACCTGGGCAAGCCCCACAGGGCTCTAAAATGAATGGCTTATTTACTTATGCAAATAGGGGCTCTTCACTGCCAGAGGAGCTGGCAGAGGATGGGGTGGATTCCTTATCATTAGTTTTGAGGAAAAGGAAGCAGATTCTATTGCTTGGGTGAACCCAACCAAAATCATTTTGCTGGGATAACTAACATTAATAAAAGAAGCAACCCCCAGTAATGTAAATAAACTCTTAAAGACTAACAAAAGAAGAGTTGACATGTGCATAATGAAGAAACTTAATGAGACATATTTCATCTCTATGCTAAATGCTTTCACCAAGACTTCTCCTATTAAGTCATTTTAGAAATTATAAATATCCCTAACACTGCAGATCATACTTTTTAAATAAATTACTGTTCCCTTAACATTACAGATCTGATAGCTTAGTACTTTAATTTGCATCATGTAAACATATTTACAAGAATGCTCTATGGAAAACAACGTATAAGGTATGAAATAATGGGTGCCCAGAGAATTTAGTTGCTAACATCAGACAATTTATAAAAGCCTAATTCTTTAAATCAGGTATAAGTTATTGTATATCAAAATGAGAGGCATAAGGAAAATTTAAAACTGTCCATAATTTTAGCATAGTCCTATCTAAAAAATCTGTCATTAGGCATTTCTAGCCTAGAAATTTCAACATTGAAAAATCAGAAAAGTCAAATAACAGAGCATTTAAATATTTGAAGGCCTCCCAGACTGCTTCTTAAAAGTTCATTCAAAAGAGTTTTAATGAGCCGGGCACTTTGGAAAGCTGAAGTGGGGGGAAACCCCTTCAACTCAGGAATCAGAGACCAGTCTGGGCAACATAAGGAGGCCTACTTAAAAAAAAAAATAGGCTGGACGCAGTGGCTCACGCCTGTAATTCCAGCACTTTGGGAGGCCAAGGCGGGCAGATCATGAAGCCAGAAGATAGAGACCATCCTGGCTAACATTGTGAAACCCCGTCTCTACCAAAAATACAAAAATTAGCCGAGTGTGGTGGTACATGCCTGTAGTTCCAGCTACTCAGTAAGCTAGTGCAGGAGAAATGCTTGAACCTAGGAGGCAGAGGCTGCAGTGAGCCAAGGTCACACCACTGCACTTGAGCCTGGGCAACAGAGCAAGACTCCGTCTCAAAAAAAAAGCCCAGTATGGTAGCCCACGCCTATAGTCCTGACTACTCAGGAGGCTGAGGCAGGAGGATCACTTGGGCTCAGGAGTTCGAGGCTGCAGTGAGCCGTGATCATTCACTGCACTCCAGCCTGGGTGATGGAGCAAGACCCTGGCTCAATAGAAAAAACAGAAAAAAGAGTTTTAATCCTGAAAAGAATCACATGCATTTTCAGAGAATAAACGTATCTACTCAACTCCGAGAGAGTTTGTATCTCACCTCCAACCAAAGCTCTTACTAAACACTACGCTTAAATGTAACAAAGCTATTACAAATAGGCAGTATTAAAGGGGCACTTGAAAGTAAGTAAAGCCATATAGGATTATGCAAAGTCAAAAATATTCCATGAAAACAAATCAATTGATAGACTCTGTAACACAGGGAGATTTAACCATTATCAAGCTCATCAAAATAGAGATCAGAAACCCAAATGAACATCAAAGAAATGTGCCATTTAGAACTAGAGCACATTTTCAATCATGACATATAGGCTTCTAAAAGCCCATCGAATTAATCACAATTTATGAAACTTCTATTATTAATAACCCTGTAAGTAAGGAGAAAAGATCATTTTCCCTCATCTCCAGAAAAGTTCAGTTAAACCCAGACTTTTCAAATTAGCTCGAGAAGTCGCCAAAATGGGATACTCCCATTGCTGAAATTTACAACCTAAGACAGCAGCTAACTTTTTTCACCGTAATGTTCATATTTTACACCATGAAACAATACTGGCCAATACTGTTGGCAGTAACTACCAGCAATGTATTCTGTTTCCTGATTGACGTTTTGTTTTGTTTTTGAGATGTAATCTCACTCTGTTGCCCAGGCAAGAAATGAAGTGGCACGATCTTGGCTCACTGCAAACT